CTCTCACATCAATGTTTCTCTCTTCCTCCCTCCCCCCCACTCTATCTAAAAGCAATGGAAAAATATCCTTGGGTGAGGATTAAAAAAAAGAGCAGTGGAAGAAAAGTTATGTTTTAGACTTAAATTTAAGATATGTTTGAGACACCTAAATAGAGATCTTAGTTATATGAGACTGTGGGTCTTTGGGTCTAGAGTTCAATAAAAAAGTCTCGGCTGGAGAGAGAAATTTGGGAAAAAATGGTATTTTAAACTCAAGGGGTTGGGTGGGATACAATGTAGATATAAAAATAATGATCTCTAATCATAATTATAACATTAATACTCATGAGGATAGCTAATGCTTATTGACTTCCTTCTATGTGCTAAGCACTGTTTTGAGTACTTTATATACATTAACTGATTTAATCTTCATAATAACTCTTACGTTGTAGGCATTATTATTACTCTTATTGCAGACGCGGCACAGAAAAACCACAGAAATAGTAAACGATGAAACCCATGCAGTCTCGCCCTAAAGCTTGAGCTCTTAATACTACATTAGAAGAGGGAAGAGACTCAGCTCAGAGATCTGGGTGATTCCAACAGTTAGAGGTTGGATAGAAAAGGTGTACCTGGCACAAGAAACTGAAAGGGAGTGATTTGAGAGGTAGGAGGGAACCATGGGAATGGGGTATCTCAGAAGCCAGGCAGTGTGTTCCAGGTTGGTTGTTAAGGTCAGTGATCAAATACTGCTGAAAGGTAGGCTCTTAAAGGACACATAGGCACTAAGTGGGGTGATGAGGGTGGGGAAAGGGTTTGCCACGCTTGGGGATAATGTGAGTAAAAGTGAGAGATATGGAGGAACCTGATGCTGTTTGCAGTTGTTAGAGGGTCAAGTGTAAGCCAGGAATGGTGAGAGATGAGACTGCAGAAGTAGGCAGGGCCAGGTCATAGAAGACCTGTAATGTGTCCCAGGTTAGCACTAGACCATGGTCTCAGCCAGAACTGTCTGTCCCCAAAGCTAGAAGCAAAACAAAGGAAACCACTTGTTATAAACAGAGGAAACTACATAGTGGTGTCTGTTTAGCTATGTTGTCTCATATAATGTATATATTGTCTGATTTCTTCAAAATTTACCATGTTGAGACCAACCCAAATTACCCATGGCTTCTTTTAGCACCAACTCACTTGTTAAGAGTGATAGATATTCTGCGTAGGAGGAAGATATCTCTATAGCAGAGGCCTGTACATATAACGTGACCCCTTTTTATACTTCTCTCTAAATTGGGAGCAAGTGTTGAAAGCGGTAGGAAAGTATGAGTTGTTTTGCTTAATTTTGGGCAACTTTGGGCCATAATCAGGAGAAACTGATTCACTGAGATTATATTTGTTTTATTATTTCTTATACTGTACATTCTAAGCATTTTGAAGTCAGAGATCTGTCATTTATTAGCTGGGTGACCTTGTGGCTCATTATTTACCTGTCTCAGACTGTTGAATAAGTGACTTCTTTAGTAATAACGATTACAAAGCCTATTGCAAGAATTAAGTAAATGAGAGGAAAATTTGGAGTGTTCTTCATCCTAGTCAAACAAACAGCCTTGTGATGAAGATGATCAGCATGATTCCTTTCTTTGTTGGTGATTCCACTTTATTTTTGATTATTTTACTTATCTAGAATTTTGTAATTTATCCTCAAATACCACTAGCTAATTGTAGATGGAAATAGTAATTTTTCTTGATGTCATATTAAGACTGTGTTATAAAGGGAGACCTGGTTCCAAAAATAATCTTTATTACAGAACTGCCATCTTACATAAAATTCTAAAGAAGTAGTTATTTAATTTTTGCTACTGGATGTTGACAAAACATAATCATTAATTTGCAAAGTTCTTATTTCCTTCGTGAGTTTAATTTATTTATTTTATCCTCACCTGAGGATATTTTTTTCATTGCTTTTTCAGAGAGAGTGGAAGGGGGGTGGGGAGAAAGAGAGACATCAATGTTAGAGAGACACATGGATTGGTTGCCTCCTGCGTGTGCCCCAGTAGGGGCAGGGATTGAGCCTGCAACTGAGGTATGTGCCCCCTTGCCCGGAATCAAACCCGGGACCCTTCAGTCTGAGGGCCAACACTCTAACCACTGAGCCAAACCAGGTAGGGCTTCTTCAAGAATTTAAAATAATGTCAATATTTGCTGGAAGCTGACTTGAACTTAACTTACTTTTAAACCATGCACATTTTACTGTACATGCAAGGTAACTTCAAGAGTTACAATGAAATGAAATATCTTAAATCAACCCTATCATTTTTTTAATTTATAGAAATAAATGAACCTGAAATCAATTATTTATTAAAATTTTAGTCCTTGGCATCTCAGATTATTTTTTGCTATTATTCCCTGTACTCTTTTTTGGCAGAGCCTCATCCTATGGTCAGAGCCAACTGGAATACTGCAGGACTGATGCCAGGCTAATTACTGTGGCTTTCACACACTGTCCTAGATGAGAGATTCTTCAGACTCACCTGATGACATGGACCAGTTTCACAGCTGTTTCCATTATGATACCCAGAGGAACTTTTTTGGAGTGAGGGAGGGGAGTTTCTTCTTCATGAAATCTACTGTTTTAATAAGGGGGAAGTGTGGTGGAGTGGAAAGAGTATTTGGCTTTTAGAGTAGACATAGATTTGAATCCCAGCTCTACCACTTTTAAGGTCTAAGCCTCCGTATCTGTTAAAATGGGTTAGTCATAGGGTTATGGTGATGATGGAATGAAATTATGTATGTAAAATAATTAGGCCTCTATTGACACAGAGAAAGCACTCAGTAGATGTTAGTGCTTATTCCTCACAACCTGTGTCAGGTTCCTGTAGTGGGTTGGTGTGTGTCTCTTTGCTCAGCAGCAGCATGCATTGGTATAAAGCTGCAGCAGGACACAGGACACTTCTGCTGTTCACTTCTGACTGACCCACAGTGCACTGTGTCCAACCCCAGCCTTTCTTTTCTCTGTCCCCCTATTTTAGTGTGACCCTTTCTCCTGCCCTAACCCTCTGGCTTACCTTTCTTCCCATCTATTCCCCCTTTGCTGCTCCAGGAGATGGCTGTTAGTGGTCACAACAGTTTTGCCTTCTGAGTGAGGAGTTTTGGGGGCTGCCATTGGGGTGTGCTGTTTTAGAAGTTAGGGCATCTTTCACTCTAAACACATGAATTATGAAAGGACTGAGGTGGGGGTTTGTGGTGGGGGAAGGAAAGGATGTTTCATTACTTCTCTATTACTTAAATGCCTGGCTCTTTCCTTCTGTCACACCAATATTTCCTACATAACTCAGTTGTCTAGTATTACTTACATTTTTCTCTATTTCTGGAAATTAGAGACCTTTCCAGAAGATTCTGTAAGTCTCTTGCCAATACTTCTTTTAGTCTGCCCTCTTAGAGTATAATATTTATGTAACACAAGTTTATTAAGACATTATTAGAGGCAGGCCCTGTGTCAGGTGCTAAAAAGGCAACGATAAATAAGATACACCTCTTCCTAAGGGGCTCACAGTCTCTAGAGGAAGATGGGCCTGCAAAGGCATCATTTAGTGGGATGAGGATTCTAGTGGGAGATTATCTGAGGTGGTGGGGACATTGAGAACACAGTGGCAAATGATAAGTCAGGAAGGGCTTCTTAGAGGAGGTGCTACTTTAACTCAAACATGAAGGATAACGAGGAGTCTGCTGGCTAATGAAGAGGAGAGATTGTGTTCCAGATAGAGGAAATAGCTAGAGCAAAGGCACAGAAGTGTGAGGCAGCAGGGCTTTTGGGGGTACAGCAAACCCATAGTCTGGCATGGAGAATAGTAGTGATGAGGGAAAATGAAATGCTTAAGAATATATTCCATTGAGGAGTTCCAATAATAGTAATGTTCTATTTCTGAACCTAAGTGGTAGGTATATGGGAGTTCATTATATCATTCTTTCATTCAACAAATATTTGTTGTGTGTATATGTATGTGCATGTACGTATAAAAGTTCTGGACTCTTCCCGAAAGCGGCCAGAGGTGACCTCTGAAAATGGTTCGCTATTCACTTAACCCAGAAAACCCCACAAAATCATGCAAATCAAGAGATTCAAATCTTCATTTTCACTTTAAGAACACTTGTGAAACTGCCCAGGCCAGCAAGGATATGCATATTCGAAAAGCTACCAAGTATCTGAAGGATGTCACTTTACAGAGCAATGTGTGCCATTCCGTCTTTATAATGGTGGAGTTGGTAGTGTGCCCAGGTGAAACAGTGGGGCTGGACACAGGGTCAGTCACCCAAAAAGAGTGCTGAATTTTTGCTACACATGCTTAAAAACGCAGAAAGCAATGCTGAACTTAAGGGTTTAGATGTAGATTCTCTGGTCATTGAGCACATCCAAAGTGAACAAAGCTCCCAAGATGCGACCCAGAATTTATAGAGCTCATGAGCGGATTAACCCTGCCACATTGAGATGATCCTTACTGAAAAAGAGAAGGTTGTTCCTAAGCCAGAAGAGGAGGTTGCACAGAAGAAAAAGATATCCCAGAAGAAACAAAAACTTATGGCCCAGGAGTAAATTCAACATAAAATAAATACTAATAAAAGTTAAAAAAAAAAAAGTTCTGGAAAGCCCATTGTGTACTTCAGGGTAGTAGTTTCTGAATTTTTGTATCGAGGGTTATGTGAATTGCTTAGTGACCATATGGATTATTTCTCTATGTGTATGTATGTATATGTAAATGTAAATGTATATGTATGTGTATAAAAATTCTAGAAAGCCCATTATGTGCTTTAGGGTAGGAGTTTCTCACCTGCTTCAGTTGGTAGCCTCAAGGATACTTAGTTTTTATCATAGGCCTTTTTGAACTGTCACAAGGCATTCATCTTTGCATTCACAATGGGGTATCAAAAATGAATCCAGGCAGATTCCATGTTGCCAAGCTGCTTACAATTTAACAGGGGAGCTAGGAAAGATGTACACATGTGCTATATGAAAGGTGAATAATGTATGTAGCAGTTTGGGGAAGGAGAGAGAATCACATGGGTCAGATTTTTGGGAGATTTGAGGACTAGTCATTTAATCTGTTAGTGCTGTCTTGTTTTCAGAGTGTCTCAGAAACAACTGCTTTTGGTGGCCACATCTCAGGGTTCCTTGATTGACAAAATGCAAATTAGTAAAACTTCCAGTGAGTCATCAGCACTAATCAAGGATTTCTTGAGTGTTGTCATGTGGTAGGATACAAAAAGAAAGATGACTGGTGCCTCCTTAAGGGTACAGGGATGGTATAATCCCGGAGAAGGTGTCAGGGCCACACTAGGCTGAGCCAACACAGTTTAGTTCCCCTTTCTGCCAAGTACTAGTGCAAGCATGACCCCCAAACCTGCCTTTCCAGCGCTTCTTCCATTAGACTGTCAGGATTGCCTCATCACTGCCAGGCAGGCCTCATTAAATTGTATTGTAGAACAACAGATGGCTTTTATTTTCCTTGCAAGCTATTATGCAACTTAAATCTGTGGTAGCATTATTTCCTTAAAGTTTGACTTATAAAATTAAGCCCATCTCCATTTTGTCCTTAACTGTCTTTCTACTCATGTGTTCATTTGAATTGTCTAAATCTTCTTTGGTGTTTGCATATTTACATTATCTGCTTTAAGTCTTTTTTCTCTTTTAATCTCCTACAGTTTTTGTTGGCTCTAGTAGCAGTACCTCAGATCCCAAATCCTTGTTTTCCCTTCTCCTGCCTGTTCCTACAGCACCTGCTTCCTCTTTCTTTGCCCAGGAATCTCTTTTCTCTAAGTCTCTGACTCCTCCCACATCTCAGTTGTGCTTTGTGGCTTCATGAAAAATTCTGAGGTAGGCCTGTGAAGTTTGCCTTTGCTACCTTTCATCCCAGTTCTCCATTCTTTTTAAAATTTTTTAATCTTTACCTGAGGACATGCTTTTGTTGGTTTTAGAGAGGGAGGAAGGGAGAGAGAGAGAAACATCGACCGGGTTACCTGTTGTGCACTCCCCAACTGGGGATTGAACCCACAACCTGGGTATGTGCTCTGACCAGGAATTGAACCCACCACCTCTTAGTGTACGGGATGACACTCCAACTGAGCCACACCAGCCAGGGCAAGTTCTCCCATCTTTTTTCCTTCCCTTGCCCTACCTCTGTGTTAAATAAAATCAACAAAAATGTGCTGCCCACCAATGATGGGCAAGGAATTTGGCCAGTCTTAGAGGGGATTCAGAGATGGTTTAAGAATATGTAGTTCAATGTGAAAGGCAGGGAGATCCATAAATAACCAAAATAAGGTCTGGGGTATCATGAGTGAGATATTTGAGGGACTTACAAGATAATTACTAGAGTAGTATGAGTGGAAGAGGGAATGAGGAGTATTTAAGGAAGGCCCCGCCTTCCACCAGCTAATCGTGACAGAGTGAGTTACATGACATTGGACCCTCCGTTGTGTTGCTGGGAGCTGTGTCCAGTGTGGGGTTATCTTTTGCTAACTGCTTCTGTTTCAGGAAGCCCCTGAGCAGACTTCTGGATATGTGTGTCCACCCCTATTTCTGATTCCTGCCTGACTCTTGCTGCCATGTCCCACTTCTAAAATTCTCATGTGATCTTGGGGCCTTGTCTCTTGCCTTTCTTCTTGCAGGCTTAGCACTGGATATGGCTGGACAGGTTTAGTCCTATTCCTCAGGGCCGCCATGTGTATTTTCATAGGGGGTCTGAGGAAAAAGTGGAAAGTAGAGTTGGTAGGGACAGAGGCAATAGGAAGGGGCATTGTCAGGTTGAGATTCATTCCTCTGGGATTCAGCAACTACAGTATTTATACCTCTCAAATTGACCCAGTTCTGGAATAGTTGTTTCCACAGTCACCATTAAAGGTGGAAAAGAACCATAAAAAGACAGCGGTAATAATAGACTGATTTCTGACCTATTTCTCCTTGGATACTTTTCCAAGAAATAGAGTTAAGATAAAGGGGAAGCTGATTGTCAGAGTGATATTTGGTGTTTAGATATCTCTTCTCTGGAGAGTGCAAGGGCTTTAGCCTTCCTCTACTATCTGTTATTAACACCTAGCTTTTGGAAATCTAACCTTTGGAAAAGTACCTACTCATTACTGTTTCCAAAATGCTTGTGAAAATCTGAGCTGCAGCTTGCTATTGGCAAAGAACACAAAGCCTCTTTTTACTAGGGTTAGTTGAAAATCTCATGTTTAGAGCTGGTCAGTCAGCCTCCTACAAACTCACTTGGACCCATTTTACTTGTTTATGCTTTCGTCAGTCAGGGTAGTAGGTAATTTTATGACTCTGTATCTCATATATTACATATCTTTTCTAGAACCAGTAAATCCTTCCAGAGGGAGTTGTGGAAATAGTGGCTTTCTAAAGTGAGCTTCAGAGTGGGAGCAGTTGGTTCACAGAAATGTTTATTGAATGAGTAAGATTTTAGTAATGTGTACAGTTATTACGCAGTTTATGGGCTGTGTAGCTGGGGGAAAAGTTATAAAACTAATTTCAGTAACATATTTGACATAGAACATTAGCAATCACTTCTTATGGAATAAACAGTAACAGTTGTACTTATATATTGGTTTACATTTTTCACAAGGTTTCTATGTGTGTTAGCCCTTGACATAAACTAGATGATTAGTGCTGTCACCCCCATTTTCAGATGCCTGAAATAAAGGCTAAAAGGCCAATGTGGTAGTTCTGGGGTTAGAACCCATAACCTAGTTCAGTATTCTTTCCTCTGCAAACTATTCAGACAAAAAGTTTGCTTGAGTTTGTGATAATAAGGGAACAATAAAGCAATGGACGAGTTTATTTTACAATACTGTGTTACTCAGTTTACAGAGATACCTTTTGTTCTGAGATTCTTTTCAACAAATACTAAGTGTCCAGCCTTGTACCAGGTACACAGGTACTCTGTATTATGTTGAATAATACAGACATGGAGCTTGTGTTCTAATGAAGGAAGTGAAATAATAAATAAGTAAACAAGTAGTAAGTAAGCTCAGGTAGTAATGAGAGCTCTGAAGAAAATAAGAGAGAAAGACTGATGGTGTTATTTTCATATATTCCTGAAAAAGGGCATCAGGGCTTGGTGTACATATGTTTTAAAGGGAGATTCCTTCCTGAGGAATCCAAGAAATCATAAAACACCTCTTCAGTATGGTATTTGGAGGATTCTTTTGTGTTAATATATTTTGTTCTTTTTCTTCAACATTAACCTAAAGCCCAAAATTGGCTTAAGTCTAGAGTGTCTAGTTGAGGCTAAAGATCTACTGCTTCGGGAACCCCTGACCATACTTCTTTCATGATATTCAGCCTACGAGAGCCAAACTTATTACTGGCCAAATATACATTTTTACCATTTTCAATCATCTTTATAAAACAATGAAGTTAAAATATTAGACAACTATGCTTTCTCCCTTTTTATTTAATTTTTAAAATTTTTGTTTTTTCTAATTGATTTTAAAGAGAGGAGGAAGGAAGAGGGATAGAGAGAAACATCACTGAAATAGAACCATCCATAGATCAGCTGCCTCCTGCACGACCTCTGCTGGGGATCGAGCCTGCAACCAGGCATGTGCCCTGACTGGGAATTGAACCAGTGACCTCTTGGTTCATGGGTCGAAGCTCAACCACTGAGCCATATTGGCCGGGTTTTTGTTGTGTGTTTTTTTAAAGCAATAGAACTTCCTACAATGACAATTCCAGATACCCAGTATATAAAACAGCTGTGGCTCCGAGTCACGCGTTTTGCTTACTCTCCTCACCACAATGTAATGGCCTAGAGGAGTACCCGAGAAGTCGCTAAGGCTTTGCAGAGCACAGGATGAAAACCACAATAAAAAAATTCAAATTGTTAGTCCTGCCGTAAAAAGATAGCCGTGTTGCCCAGCTATCATGGCTAGGTGGTTGAGCATCAACTTATGAACCAGGAGGTCACGGTTGAATTCCTGGTCAGGGCACATACCCGGGTTATAGGTTTGATCCCCAGCAGGGGTGTGCAGGAGGTAGCTGATTGATGTTCCTCTCTCATCGATGTTTCTGTCTCTCTCCCTCTCCTTTCCTTTCCTCTGAAATCAATAAAAACGTACTAAAAAAAAAAAAAATAGCTGTGTTGCTGAAACTGGCAGAGCCACCATACCAGTTACTCAAAATCATGTTTTGAAAGTCCACATTTAGTAAAAAAATAGATTTATATGTACATTTTAACCTAAAATTATATTTTCAGGTAGCAATTACTATATTAAAGCAAAGTCATACTTTCATTATAGCTGTTTCTCCAGAGCATAGTAGGGTTTTTTCAAGTTTTATTGAGATATAGTTGACATACAGCCCTGTATAAGTTTAAGGTATATCGCATAGTGATTTGACTTACATATATTGTGAAATTATTACTACAGTACAGAGCATGTATTTTATTTTATGTGGGTATGATGGTACTGCTGGGTCTAATTTAAAAATTAAATTTTATATTGGCCAAGAGTTATTTGTTCATAAATTAATTATAAATAAATCCATGATAATGTTTTATATATCATTATAAAGTAACTGATTCGCTAGTTTGAAATTTTTTTCTTTTTGTTTTCTAGTTTGCCAGGGTATGGATACCTGATCCTGAGGAAGTTTGGAAGTCAGCAGAGCTGCTCAAAGACTACAAGCCAGGAGATAAAGTCCTCCTGCTTCACCTTGAGGAAGGAAAGGTAAGGTTTTGGCTTTTATTTGTTATCATTGGCACAAAGCAAAGGGAATTCAAAAGTATAAGTTTGTTGTGACATACTTAACTTCAGTTGGAAGTTAAATTTTGAACTAATCTAATATTTTTACTTATTAAATTGATTAAAAATGTCAAAATGGAGCCCGGCCAGCCGTGGCTCAGCAGTTGAGCGTCGACCTAGGATCCAGAAGATCGGGGTTCGATTCCTGGTCAGAGCACATGCCCAGGTTGCGGGCTCAATCCCCAGTTGGGGGCCTGCAGGAGGCAGCCAGTCAATGACCCTCTCATCATGAATGTTTCTATCTCTCTCTCTCTC